CCTGAACTCTGTAACTTGATTTTCCCTCCCAAATATTACCCTTCTGGGAAGAATTTCATTAAACCTGTTGTAAATCTGTAGAGAAAGTATTCCATGTAAGCCAAAATTCTGTTTCTCTGGATTTTTCTTAATTCTTGCAAGTTTTGTCAACAAAGCTGCACTGTAATTCTAGGTCTTTTCTACACTTTTTTTTTCTTCAGTGGTGTGGAGACTTGAAGGCAGGAATCGCTGAACCACATTTCTATCCCTTGTAATTAGGTAGGTAGGTAGGTAGGCAGGCAGAAAACATTCACTCGGTTCTTTGAAGACACTAGTATATATGGAGAGCCTGCATATGACAAATCTATGTAGCGATTTTTAAAAATATACTTGTTTCTTCTTTAATTTCTATAAATACCTTAATAAGTTTAGGAATGAAGTCTCTTGAGTATTTCGGTGCTGAGATTCAAATGAAGCTGAGTCTGCCTAAACTCAGCATTCAATTCTTTATACATTCCAGATGATTGTTTTTTATGTTCTTGACTTCATTCCTCCTATAAAAATCAACTTTACTCTGTGTAGAGTGAAGAAGTTAGTATAGTATTTGGCACATAGGTAGCACATAATGAATCCTTTGTGTTGTTATCTCTACCACACTTTGGTTTTTTTTTTTTTTTTTTCATCTTCAGTTTTTTCTGTTCAATACTTTTGCCATATCTTATTTTTTATTCCTCCAGTTTCACACTAGCAGAATGTGAATGGGGTAGGGGGACAAGTGCTCAACTAAAGAAAAACTAGAAAATATGGAAGCAGTAGAGACATGAATTAGTCTTTGTCCCAATAAGGTGCTTAATTATGCCATTTTCTTATGTCCTCCAGCTTTTGCTTTATTTTCAAGTCTTATTTATATGACAACTATACCGGCTAGCAGAACTAGGAATGTGCCAGGACTTAGTACATGGATCCTCCTCTCATTCTACTCTGTTTTGTAATCCCTAATATCGTACTTTAAAAACTCACATTTAAACTAGTCACAGTGGTGACATACCTGTAATCTGACCTGCTGGGGAGGCTAAGGCTGGATTGCAGGCTCAAGGCCGGCCTGGGAAGCTTAGTAAAACCATTCCTCAAAATTTAAGGGAGAAAACCCCCACAAAGGTCTGAGGACTTGCCTAGCATGAGTGAGAATCTCAGTTACTAGTATTGCAAATAAAGTGAAAAACAACTTTCATTCATATTGATTAGTTCTACTATTGTCAAAGGAGATTTTCTGACATAGTATTTCTTGGAGTTTTGCTAGGATATCAGATAATAAAAGATCCAAAATCAAATTCATCTTATTATTATTTTTTGTCTTTTCTGCAGACACATACTATCTCATTATACCAGTTCTGTGTGTGACAAGCAAGTTTCAGTGTCTGAAGCAGAAACCTTCTATCTCCTTTGATTCCTCTTTCTCTTGTAGTCAATCTGTCTACTCATGGGTCCTTGTTGTGTTTCCCATAGAATGCTCTTAAAATAATGTTGCAGGTACCTAATCTTGCATCTCTTTATTATTTTAGATTAAAGTTTTTCTAGAATTTCTTTTCTTTTTCTTTGTTTACAATGAAGTTTTGCTAAATTTTCCACTCTGGCCTTGAACTTTCAGTCTTCCTGTTTCAACCTTCCTGTTTCAACCATGGGTCGTGGCACTAAGACCCATGAGTGCCACGACCCATGTGGTTTCTGAGGTTCTTGGGGGTTAAGGACTGCAAGAGGATGAGAAAAATAAGAAGAGACAAAGCTGGAATCAGGGAGCCCTTTTCCTCCTGATGGGAGGAAAGGAACTGGCTCCTCACTGCAACTTAATGTCACGTGACACCCTGTTGTCATACAATCCACTGCTCAGATTGTCTTGGGGATAGATGTTCTCTGGGCTTAAGCAGCTTCTTCGCGTGGTTGCCTGGGCACTCTTCTTGGAATGTCATGCTCCAGCCTTGCATGGTGGTCAGTTTCCAGCTTCAAGGGCTCCCAACAGCTTGGATTAACAGTTGTGTCTAGGAAAAGGTTTAATATTATCCTTTTTTAGAGGCCAGCAGTAATTCCATAGTTACAGTTCTTTGCCTGGATTGTAGGTATAATCTGCCCCCTCCCCTGATTTTTACTCAGTTCAGTTGATCTTCCTGCTAATGGCAGTTTGTAGTCTTCTCAAGGTAATAACAAGAACAAAAAGTGCCTCTATTGAATCTACTGTAGACCAAACACTGTTTGGTGACCTTCGCATTCTTTTCCAAGTTTCTGTTTTATAAAACTGAAGGCACTTAATTTGGCAAGTGAATTTTTAGTCATTATTAACCCTGTGTGTGTGTGTGTGTGTGTGTGTGTGTGTGTGTGGTGTTATGGACTGAGCCCTGGAGGTTTACACTGAGCTATAATATCAGTGCTTTTGAGTTCTTATTTTGAGACAGGATCTTACTGAATCATTAACTCACCCAGACTGGGCTCCTATGCAACAGTCCTCCTGCTTCAGTCTCTCAAGAGTGCAGAGTACAATCTTATGCCACTACACTCAACTTCATGACTGACTCTTAGTAAGTGTGTTAAAGTGTTCTGCACTGTGCTCTATCTTCCCATATGACGTGCTTGCTTCTACCTCCTTACCCTTATTTATGATGTTCCCTGTATTTAGAATTATTTCCTTCAGTGTATCCAGTTATCAACCATCTAAATACTAGCTAGGCTTATTTAATTCTCATGCATCTCTCTTGTTGTCAAAATTCTAATGTATTTGTAAAGTGTCTGCAGTTTATCATGCAATTATTCTGGTCGTAATGTGGTGCATTTTTTAGTCTTCCCACAATTCAGCAGTACTTTACAACCACCCAGTATGGGTTGAGTGATTGCATTTATTTTTCCCGTTTCAAATAGAGTTTAACTTTCTGGAAAGTTTACCTCTCACTTTTATTTAGCTGCCCCCCACCCCTCTCTGCACTGCCATTGACACATAGATAAATATCCTCAGTGCTGGGATGTGGAGATCTCAAGCCATCTGTCTTTCAGGACTTTGAGAAAATACTTTCTGATACTGTGTATCTAGATATACCTAAATCAAAAGGGTAATACAGTAGATCCTGGCATAGGTGTGATTTGTAAATATCACATGAAGTATATAATCTACATATTTGGAAATTTAAAAAGCTGCCATTTTTATGTAGTTAGTATACAGAAGCCAGTGGACTATGCATTATACATTCATTATCTTTTAAGTCTTAGAAACCTAGTTGCTAGGTAAACGGGGCAGCTGGTTCCCTTAATGGTTCAGTGACATCCTCTAAGTGATGGAACCAGTCTAAATCCAGGCCCTCTCAATTTTGAATGCAAGTACTTATGCACTGTTATACCAGTCAGCCAGTCAGTCTTTTTTAGTCTCATTATTGTCAAGTTTTCACCACTTGAGAAATATAAATATCTTCATTTTAAGCTCACTAATTTTAAATACATTGGATCATGCTTGTGAAGTACTTAATGCAGTTTCAGGCAACAAGTATAAACTTTGAAGAAAGGGGTAATACTCATTATTGATACTTCTCCAAATTACACTAATGTGTTCATGATACTATCTTCCCCCAATGGCATCTTATAATTAAAGACGGAATCAGCTATTCCTTACTTCTCTAAAATCTCTCAGTGTGTGTGTGGGGGGGTATACACATGTATCTGTTTGGGCTCTATGAGGACAGGAGGGTTTATAAAGTGAGAATTAAAACTACTTTTTGACCCTCCCCAGTCATCTTTGCAGTGTACCTGAAGGCATGTCTGGCTCAGTCACAAGTGGGAATTAGATGATGGGCATCAGAAGTTTCTATATTTGGCTCTCACTGTCTTTGAGTAGAAATTGAGTGTTGATTTGCTCTGCATACTTTCACTTTTTGGACAGTCTGTAATATTTTTCTGCAGCTATGAGAATGCCAGGTTCATGGCAGGTGGCATTAACATTGAGGTTTTAATTTTTGTGTTTATCTGTGAATTTACATTACGGAATTTAAGAAATGAAGCTTGATTAGAGACAATAGAGAAAATGAAAACAATTTTATGTTGCATGATTTCAAACTTACAGAATTACATGATTTCAAACTTGGAGAAAAGTTTTAAGAATATTCTAAGAACTCCTATTTATTCTTTAACTTGTTTTAAAATAGGGTAATATGTTATTAAGGTAGGTTTTCCTTTTAACTTAGCATCTGCTCATTATAAAATAGTTAATATTCAGTTATCACAGTAGTGGAACAAATTGTTCATTGTGTCAACTGGGCCTCTTTTTTGCTGTCTAAAGATGATGGTTTTTAAAAATCAAGATTCGCTGTTAGCAAATGCCATTCCTTAAAATATGTGTCTTCTGTTTTTTTTTTTTTTTTTTTTTCCTGTTGCTCACATCTTGCACATCTTTAGAGTATTCTTAGAGGTTAATGTTTTTAAAAATATGTTTCAATTTGGAATATGGGGTTAGAGTATTTTTCATTGAAATGAAATCAGTTATTGTTTTGTTCAGGTTGAAAACAGGAGCACATTCACGAAAATCCCAAACATGCGGAATCTAATCAAATAGGAAAAAATGATCCGGTTTTATTTTGCAGCTGTGGAATTCTAGCATCTTAATGGCAGAATGAAAGAGTATTTGAATGGTTCAATTGTAAAATGATGCTCAAACTGGCAGTAGTACATCAGTGCAATTAAAGGTATTTGTAAACTGAACACCCAGTGTACTGTTTCTTAGTTAAATCTCCGGAGAACTTTAGACATTTTAACTGCGTTTTCACCAGAGTAAGAATTTATGTTCATATTATTCACATTATTGTTAGGATCAAGTGAAATATATGAAAACAGCTTACTTGTAATGCAGAAACATGCTACATACCATGAAGGTTTTTAGAAACAGACAAGAACAAAAACTATATCAATAACTTTAATAAGAGGAGCCATTTTGTCAATATTGTTGGCATGAAATTATGCAGAATTTAATATATGTGCATTTTTAATTTCAGATTCAAAATGCTAATGATGTACTAATTGCGCCACTTGAGAAATTTCGAAAAGAACAGATAGGTGCAGCAAAAGTAAGTGTTGCTTTTTATTACTCTTCAGATAGTCTCCTGATAATTAAAGATAACATACTTTCAGATGTTAACATTTTTGAAATTGGAATGACCTTCTAAATATTGTGTGTGTCATTTTAATGTTTTTTACACAGAGCCTATTACAAAGACTAGAATTCTTTTAAACATAAATGGTCTTATTCTTCTACTGAGTAGGGAAAATGTCTACCTCTTACAAGTTCCTTCCATCACAACAGTTGTAGGATATTAATTCTTTTAAAACAGGGTTAGATTATAATATTGTGAAAAGCTTTGTTCCTAATGTCTAAGTAAAATGAAAAGTAGACACAAGGAATATTGAAAATCTGGTCAATAATTACAAGAAAAATTTATTCTTTTTCATTGTAGTTTTAGAAATATTTCATTGGAAAATTGTTTATAGATCAATTAAATTTTCCCTCATCCTAATAACCTAAATTATTTACACACTGTTGCTTAGGTCCACTTTTTTGTTCACTTGGTCAACATCATGTAAGCGTAGGAAATTTAAGGTTCGATGCCAGAGCTCAGTGTGTCCCGACTTTCTGTTTTCAATTTCAGTTACCCATCCTCCCATCCCAGCAGTGCTGTTCATTGTGCTACAGTGTTATTTCTATTTATTTCTTCCTCTTTCTGACTGAAGTATCCCAATAACTTTCTCTTTGACACTATACCCTCATTGTAATCTCTTAGTAAAATTTTACCTTCTCTAATCATGTCATTCTTCCAGACGTAAAACTTTCAGTGGTTATCAGAGAATAGTTTCATCCTAATAATGAAACACACGTTGGCTATTTTCCAAATGTCAGTGCACTCCTACTACTGCTAGGCACAGTTACCTATGTACTGGTCTCTGTTTATGCCTTACTCTATCCATGTCTTTTCCAAACGTTCCCTGGAATATTTCTCATTCTCCACTTTTTAAAATCTTGCCTGCTCTTTGTTTGCTTCATGTTGCAGAATCTAAAAGAAATGTTCTTCACATAGGCCTTTCAAGACTGATTCTCTTTTTCTCTCATAGGATCCAGTAGTCCTTATATTTATTTCCTGTATAAGTAGTCACACGCTGTTGTGAATTAGAGTTTTATGTTGATTTTTTTCCTACTAATTGTGAATAATTTTCATGTCAAGAATTAAATCAGAGCTGTTTGTGTTCAGTAATCAGCAAATATTTATCAGTAATTTATTATCAATAAATCATTAATAGTCTGTCAGTAATTATTCAGTAATTCAGCAAAAATGATTGGCCCATATATGGTAAGAGATTACAGCAGTAAACAAGAAAGGCAGGATCTTTGTATTTATGTCACTTATTATCTTTCATGAAAAACGGACACTAAAGTACTTACAGATGCACTGAGGATTGTGATACAGAAGTGCCGGATGCTCTGTAAGTGTGTGATTAATGGTCCTTGTGCAGAAGATCCATAGATGCCTTCTACAGAAGTCTTATATAAGTAGAGACCTTAATAATGAGAAAGAAATACCTAGTAATGGAAATATCTCAGGAGAGAAAAAAAAAATCTGCTAAGTATTCCAGAAGAGGGAACAAAATATTTGTGAATAAAGGCCATCAAGGGAGAGAAAGATTCAGTTACATAACAAGAAAGATCTTGTAGGTATAGAGAACAGAGTCTCATGCAAGCAAAGGCCATACATACAGTTTCATATGTGGTCCATAGTATTTTACTCCTAAGGATGAAACAAAGGTAAGGAGAGTGATATTGCATTTATATTTATAAATGTCACTGTACGATGTCTGTGCTGCCGTGTCGTGCACAGATTGAGAGAGGCAAGGCTGCTTATGGGAAGATCAGTTTGGAGGCCGTTCAGTAATAGCTTTCAACTAGATAAGTGACAGAACCTCTGGAAAGGTCTCTCAGAGTAACCAGTAAGAGGTGGTCTGTATATTGAGGAATGGGAGGTTTCAGATCTCACCCCAGGGTTCCAGCCAGGTGGTTGTGAATCTGCTGAGACAGGCGATGTTTGTGTTTGGATGGCAAAGGTAGTGAGTTGAGGTTTTATTAATGAATGAATTTGAAGTTCCTTCAAGACCTCTAAGTGGAAACACTGAGCAAGCCAGCTTTTATTTAGATCTAATATACATTTGGGAATTCAGTCTTTCAGATATTTATTAAAGTGAGAGAAAATCAGATTTCCTTGGGGGAGGGGAAGAAAATGATGAATAGGACCTTTATAATTTGAAAACACTCTCAAAGTTTGATATTTGGAGAATGAAAAACAAGACAGAAAAGGAAATGGAGAAGGAAGGGACAAAGAAAGAAAAATACTTAAAATAATGTAATGTGTCTGTTTTTGAAAGAGGCTTCAAAAATAATAATAGCTGATTTTTATTGGGAGAAATATGGGTGCTACTTTCAATGAGCTGTTACATAATTTGTGATCTAATTAAATGTTCACAGTCTGCAAGGTGGCCATTAGTGTTCCACCTGCTTACAAGTGAGAAAATGATCAGCTTTCCCTGCAGATCACAGACCTGGAAAGGAAGAACAGACCTGAAATGAAGTCATGTTATATTTCACTTAGTTGATGATACTTCTGTGAAGTTGAATTAATGTACTTTCTGAAAACTTATTCTACAGGTCCAGAATATTCCAAGTTTTTTGACCATGTATAAAAAAGCAAATTCTGTTTGTGTGTATTCTCTTATCAGGAAGGTTTGGTGCCAGCTACCATTGCAAAGCAGGCAGTCGCGGTACCACTTTTATTTTATTTACATCCCAATTTAATGAGTAGACTAATCCAGAACATCCAACAGGATGGTATGCTTTTGCACGCTCACTGAAATACTCAGCTTGTGGTTAAGTAAAACCAATGAAGTCTTGAACATAAAGACTATTCCCTTGTCTGGTGATTGTGTGTATTTTATCTGTCTAAAGCTCTTAATACCAGCTGTTTTAAGCTGCTAATTTATATTTAGTAAGGTGAAAAGTGAATTAAAAACAGGCATTCTTTTCTAAAATATATGTATCTATAGGAAGCAAAAATACTTGAAAGTGTTTTATTTGTCTTTTATTCTTTTACCATCTGTTCATGTAGGTATTTTCTTACTCGGTACATAAAGTTAATTCTACAAATGATGTTCTGCTGCTTTGCACAGACTGTTCAGTGGAGGTTTTCCACAGGCCTTTTGGGGAGATAGCCAGCTGGGAGGACAAGACGGGGATTCGGTTAAGTGTAAAATGTTCCATTGCAGTCAGCGACCTCTCCAGCTTGTCTGCAGGACAACCAGAAATGGAAAGCGCTGAGTCAAGTGGCCCTTGCTGCAGAAACAGATGTGGCTATTTAACTGAAGTGGATAAAAATCCATAGCACAAACATTTCTTTGTCATATGCTTCATGGAGTTTTGAGATACGTGATACTGTGGTGAGGAAACTGAGGCACTGCTGAGTTCCCTTTGTGGGAAGGGGATGTGTGGTGCATCTGGGAGTGGCCTTGGAAGAGATTGATGATACGCTTATAAAACTGAGAGTCAGCAGTGAATAGGTCTTGCTTTTTAGTTAAAAAGAATCATTTATAAACAGTCGCTGTTGTGTATTTATTTAATGGTTGTTAGTCTGACAGCATGTGAAGAATGGACTCGTACCGCAGGCAGACATATTAACCTGTCAGAGGATTGCATCTAATGCTTGAGTTCTTTAATTTATCTCACACTCTTAGTGTAAATTCTAAGAAATGAATGAAAGCATATATTCAGAACCAGTAATGCCAATAAAATTTCCACTTTATTAATTTATACAGAGTAACTTATTATAAATCAAAATAAATCATAACATTTTCATGGATACTTTTAAAATTTTTATTAGCACATGTTAGCAGTGCATAATGATTGCATTCATCATGGAAAGCTGGTACATGTATATAATACATCTTAAGTCTCTTTTATCTTCTACTTCTCCCTTCCCTTCCTCTCTTTCTTTGTGGATGTTTTTAGAATAAATTGATGGCTGAGTTTTTGTGACTGCTTTGAAAATGTACTTGCTCCCAGAGGGAATTGATTGTAAGCCTTATCAGTTCTTTTCACGTTTATAAACTCTGGCGAAAACATAGGTAGTTTTGTATCTGAATCTTCAATAAAAAGATAAGACATTAAGGAAACGTGTGTGTGTGTGTGTGTGTGTGTGTGTGTGTGTGTGTGTGTGTGTGTGTGAACATACCAGACTATTATATAGTTTTGGAGATATCCTAACTTTAAGGAGTTTATGGCTTATTTTACATTGACTACACAGCTAGTTAGTGGCACAGTGAAAACTAGAACTCAATTCCTCAGACCAGCAAATTTGCACCCTCATGTAGCTTTTTAAGAGATTTTTTGGTAACATGTTTCATTTTCTGTACCCTTAAAAATAATTATATAAAATATATACAAATTATAAAAATGTTTCCATGACACTCAAATATGCCCATTTCAAATGAAATCTAGTTAATGTTTCCCTTGATTTTGAAATTCTCCTTGGTTCCTGGGATTTTCAGCATATAGTAAGTACTTAACATTGACTTATTTCATTACTGAAAGAAGACTTGAAGAATACTTGAAAGATATAGTTTCATTTCTGTTAGAAATGTTTTGCAAAACAGTGGTTTTCATTTGTAATAAGACTTTAATAAAAATCATATGACATTCCTACATGGATTTAATGCAGAAATAAACATAATGTTAGTCATTTCAAAATAGAACTTGATTTTTTTTACATTGGTTTCATGTTGAAGACTATAATAGAACAATAAATCTTCTCCCTTTGTTCTGTCCATGGTAGGATTTGGTTCTGCCTCTCAACATTTGTTCATTGTTTTTAAACATGTCTTGCACATATTATTTAGCTGCATAGTGTTTAGAAAGGAGAATTATCATAAATCTTGTTACAGCCTTAGATTTCTTATGTCAAAATTTGTTGTCTCAATAAATGACTTAGAATATTACAAATAATACATTATAAAATTACAGATTTTTGTTCCTCAG